TTCTTTTTGAGCTACATACATAAAATATAATGAGCAAGTGACCTTTGTGTATTTTTCGTGTAAATTTTACAGAATTATGCAAACTGCAAAAAAGTTATTGCCATCTGCAGTAGCCCAAAAGTTTTGTTGTTTCTCAAAGTGTAATCAGCAGACACTCACCACCCTCAGGTAATAAGACAGATGTGTGTCATGTTTTTATAAGATTTATCATTGAACAATTGCTTTGCACTGATTGCACTATTTCATGTTTTGAAATAGGGAGGGTGCCACACAAGTGAACACTGATGAAATAAAGACAAACACCCACATGTATCTTTCATACAAAAAGTTCCAGAATGTCTGACAAAAGTCAAATTAATGATAAATTATTATTTTACTTTAGCTAATTATATATTCATATATATATAGAGTACAAAACATTGACATCATTCAAAACGATGTACTTCTCACAAATCTCAGTCGGTTCCTGAATTGTTTTTACACTTTTCTTAAAGTTCAAAGTCATGAGATTTCATTTCAGTTGAAAATGGTGATTTGTGAAAAAACACGAAGTACAGTAATTAGTATGTCTGACTATCTTCACCTAAGCTTCAAACAATGAAACGAAAACGGAGCAAGCATAGCAAGCATAAAAACTTAAAGTACATACCCCCCTACCCGCTACAAACTGTGCTCAATTGGCCTAATAATATAGGCATGTCCAAGATACGATGATTGACATATAGAACACTGATCACGTTTTTAACACCATTCATAGTGAATATTTTCCCAACATTAATATAACTAAATCTTAATAGTTATAGCTATATTATTAATAAATATATCAAAGTTTCTATGGCAACAATAGGCTCACTACTGTGTGCTGTTCGTGACCTGATGAGTGAAAAGTTACCTGCTAATGGCAATGCTATGCCCCATATGAATACCAGCAGTCCTCCAAACACATAAACAATGAAGTAACCAATGGCCAATATTGCAAGTACACATATCAATGGATGAGCTTGTTTAAAATTCTTCATTTGTCGTTTATTCTCTGTGGCCATAATAAATCCCATGAAGGCTGCTATTACAGCTACAATACCAATCAACATTTTGACTGGATGTAAACAGCTGTAAAAGAAATAAAAAAGCTGTAAAATTAGTGTACATTTTGAAATCTGAACAAACAACATATGGAAACTATTACCAGTATATATGGAAATGCTGCCAGGGGCAGGTAATGAATACAATGAATGTTACTGGGTTGGGTAAGGTAGCACAATACAGGATACAATAGTTACAAATATTAGGGTGTAAAATATCAGTTTTGTTGCAAATGCAAATTTCTCAGACAAAATGAACTACATGTAATTAGTATAGAACAGTCTGTGCTGAAATCTGCAGAAATTTTGTACTCTTCCCACTGCTGGTGAAATCAAGTTTCTGCAATGTTTTTACAAATATCTGCAACTCTGTGACAACAAGTAAATGAGAAATTTTCCAAAATCAGTTGGTAAAATAACAAAAATATTTTTGTTTTTTTAATAGTGTCTTATTACATGATGACTCCCATAATCAACAGCTCCTGCAATCTAGATTGGTGGTGACAAGATCTTGTCATAGATAACAGAAATCTACAGCATTGTGTGAGCTTGTGAGTTTGCGACTGAGTGAATCAATCGGCAAGGGTATAATACCTATGTTACAAACATCCAGTTTATTTTACATGGTTGCTGTTCCATAAAGGCTTATTTCCAAGAGTAAGGAGTATGATTTTCAATATGCATTGTGATGTTTACTGTTGAAAAAATAGTGTCTGATGACTTTCTTGTAACAATAATAAGAATTGTTATCAGAGTAATACTTGCATTTAAGTAGAGGGGTATAAAATATTATGTGAGTGTATAAATGGTGAATTACCACAAAACAAACAAGAGACTTACATCTCTAGCAGATGCCCTCTTGCAACACTGATGATTGTCACCAGTCAGGTGTTCAGTGCAAGATGCAATGATTGACAAGATGAATATTATTCAACCAATCAGCATTGAGGTCAAAATTGGAGTTGTCATAAACAATGGTCTCAATAGCTTATTAGAAGTTACATCGAAAGTTAAATTTTGCATGCCTGCATTTTACAATATTCTTGGTAATTATTTGAAGATGGCCACGCAAGACTGTGTTAAAGGTGCACTAAAGATACTAGGCTATGCATCGTTTTGAGACTACCAACAAGAGAATGCGATATGTACGCTTCTGGTTGCAATGCTTTTCGAGTGTGTCTACAGGTAATGATAAGTACCCCAGGTACCTAACATTCTAAAATATGCCTTTCTGCCTGGACTACAATTTTTTTCTATATCTGATGCATATACACTTGCAAATGCATTCCTGCATCTTTGCCAATAAACGGTTGTGATCGTCTCTTTTGTACGCAGTCACTTGCCCACCATTCTTGGCCATCTTGTAAACTTATATGCATGTATATATGCTACCGGTATGTAACAAATCCTATATGTAAATTACGCTACCAGGTAATTTGTGAGGTCACTAAAATGCTCATTAATATTAATAGCAAGGGAACACTTACAAGGGATGTAAGTCTCCAGCTATCATGGTAACCCAGCCATTTTTACACTCGCATAATATTTTATTTTATTAAAAAAAACACACTACTGCACTAAAGCAAATAAGAGACTGTATGCTGTACGCAAGTCTAGGGGGTATTTAAATTAGGCCAGATTATTAAACTAGGATGCCTTGTTTGTTCTTGAAGGTCATGTATAATGTAGGCATGTTTGACCTAAGATCAGTTTTACAAGGGATAAAGCATTTTCAAAAGGTACAAAGTGAAAAAAGCGGGAAACTAAAAACAGGATATCTACTTTTTTAATAAATCATATTTTTATCTAAACAGCATCATTTTAACACATTTTATGTTTTTAATTATTTCACATAACTGCGAACTTTAAAACTGTATCCACTCATCATAATTTTTTTCAAGCATTTCTTTTTCTTACCAGCTTATATGTCATTGTCCTGATGAAAACATTGTTATCATGGCGCGTCCTCCATTAATTATAAATGACGTCTGCCAAAACATTTGAACAACCAGCTACTTACCCAACGATTAAAAACATAACCACTGTAACAAGAAAATAATTTGTCTGGTAGTATAGAAGATTGTTGACAACCCTATTATTCCATCTCATTAGATCGTTAAAAGCAGGTGTCTGAAACCGAGCAGATTCACCCAAAAAGTCTTTGAAAGCACGAAGCGGTGGGACTTGAATATCATCCATGTTTCCTTTTAACCTTTGACCTTAATACCCTTTAAGTTTATACTATACTATACTATGTAATGCTTATTTAACAATATCTATAATCATGCGTCTCTCTAGCTATGTATTACCTTTGTCAACAAATGACCCGCATTTGCGGCACTGCAACAAAGATTAATTTGTTTAGCATATTTCTATACCTCTGTGCATAAAATAGAAAATCGCCATTGTACAGACCACCTAGGCGAACGTTGGTAGATACGAAACAAAGATGGCGGAGGAACCGTAAGTTTGCATTTTTATTTTCCGGTAATGGGTCAATTACTTGATATCTTGTCACCCTATGACCTTCTATAATAACTATACTAATTATCATTATTTATTAGAAACAATCTCAGATCATGATCGTTTTATAAAAAAATAGTAACTCTGGATTTTTCACTATATTGTATTTAAATAAACACGTGGGGGTAATGCGTATGACAAATATGCTAGGGACAGTCAGGGTCAATGTACGGTTATTCGGTCTGCAAGCTGTGTATCAGGCGACAGGTCGTACGACACACCCGCTCTTTGACCAGGAAATCACTAGATCTGGTATGAACCTGTTGAACATCTGATCGCGTTTGAGAACACTCGTTTTACTATCCTTCGCGGCGAAAGCCGAAAATTGACTGTATGAGTCGAAGAAAAAGGTACATATTACGTCGGTGCTAATTGTGAATGCGCCATGACCTAAAATAGAAATTCATTGTTGGTATTTGCAATAATGTACACGTCGTCGTTTCAGACTCATTGCTTCTCAGTTTGACGGAAATATATTTATGTCTGCTTTCATTCAACAATTTCAAACTTGCATGTATACATGTACACTATTTTAGATCGTTTGAACTGAAAAGACAAACAACATATTGTGTCACCTGCATAGTTACTATCACACCATAGATCAGATGTCAGTTTTATTAGATTTCGCAATTTATGGGTAGAAACAAATCATATACATAAACTCTAACTCTATCAGTGATTCTGGAACATGTTGTTCTGTTACATGCAACTATATTTATCAGTCTTCTATCATTTTAAATAGTTTGCCAATTGAATTGACATATACATGTACGTAATTTATTTACGTTACTTTGTCTACAAAATAAATTCCAGGTGAAAATAAAGTATTTCACTGCCTTTTGACATATTTTAAATAATTCCCACTGAAATGTTGTTTTTGATATGAGCATCTTGGAATGTGCACTCACACCATATTTTTAGAGTAAGTTAGTTTCAGTCATCCTGCAATCATCTGCTACTCATTGCGACAAGGATTCTGTGATTTTTTTTACGTCTACTGAGAACAAGAACAGTACACAGGGTCGACAGTTTTACGTTCCCTCAAACTAGACGTCATATTCTCAACATTTTTTTTTTTTTTAAACTGCAGCAGACCATGGGAGTCAAACCCAAAACTACATCCCTTAGAGATATGGTAAATTGTCATGGTAACGACACTTGCCTGAGTAAATAACAAGTCAATTCACTCAAGCAATCATACTGTCACACAGCAGAGAAAACAATTTTATTGATTATTTTATCATAGTTTTATCACTGTGGGCCAATCAGAATTTCACATTCATGAAACTGTCATATTACCCACAATCAATGATTTATAATATAGAGGATCTCCAATTCGTGACTTCGTAATATTGGATTTATTAATGCAGTAATTTAAAAAGTACTACACAAATTTAATAAAGTTGATATCACACGGTCACAAATTGGAAATTTTAATTACCCGATGTATTCATTTCACAGCTTTTTGTCTTAATAAATAAATCCAAAAGATAAACATTTTAGATCACAACTATTTGCATGCAAAACTGCCATCATCAAATACAATTACTGACAATATAGTCAACTGACCGCCAAATGATTTTGCTGATTTTTTTGGAAATCAATATATTTGCTGTTTTAGGGAACATTGGTAACATTTCTACCAATAGACTTTTATTCATTTAATAAAAAACAATTCCCAAGCACTACTATTTTTAGTTGGGAGAAATGACAATGTCTGTATTTGCAATTAACAGCTAAACACACATTGATGAATGGCTGAGATTACCAGTACATAGCAAAAATATTATTTAGTATATTCTAAAAGGATTTAAAAAAATATACTGCCAAGTTGTCAATTGACTTGTCGCAACCAATCAAATCATTGAATTTTGGGAGTGGGATATCAAAAATATCCAATTCGCTATATCATATGGAACAGGCATACATTGTACATTGGGAAAATGGTATGTAACTTTCATGACCATGTACAGTGACATGTGACAATCTTTGTGTGTATTCAGACATATTCACAGAATGCAGTAGACCATAAAAAAGGTCTATTTTGCATAATCAGAAATGAGCAAGATTATCGCTGAATTAAAATACGCAACATGCATGCCTGGTGAAAAAGTATGAACACTATCAAAGATGATCTGAGATGAACAGTAGTCAGTTATTTCACATATTCCTCATTTGCATTAGTATTTTTTAGAACTGTATGTTTCCAGATTTTGGGATCATCTCGCAATTTCTTTGAATTTCCTTTAATTCTTGTAAGATCTTAATCACATATTACATACTTGCATACCCTTGACTTGTACATCCTTGTTATAATCTAATTCTGATTAGTATATGTATATTTTATACATACAGTGAACCATCTTCAATTTGTTTCCCTTCAGAATGGCAGTGGACTCTAACAGAGTTGACATTGAATGGCCTGGACGATGGAATCATATTCGTAAATTTCTAGAGCGGACTGGGCCATTTGCACATCCAGACTTTGAACCAAATCCTGAGGTAAAAATATGGATATTTTCTGCAATTGTGTATTCTCCTAAATATAACTTGAGAGGGCAGTTATTTCTAATGAAGTTTATTAACAAATGTTGAACACACATTTTTCATAGATGATTGCTTCACAATTTCTTATTTGCAGTAGTACTTGTGTTTTGTTTCAGATGTTAACTTTTTTATTGGAGACCTGTCGTATATTGGTTGTCGGTGCTGGCGGCTTGGGATGTGAATTATTGAAAAATCTTGTAAGCATACTGTAACTCTTGTTTGTTTCACCAATTGTTCACTCTTTATTATCATCCATCACATCAACAAACACATCTTATTTACTTTATTAATAGCGTATAGTGTCATGTAAATTGCAGAGAGGTGTCTATGGTCAAAATAAGTAATATTTCAAAAATTAAATTGCAATTTTTGGTTTGTATGTGCTTCTATTCAAGATCCATTTTCAATATAACAAATACGGTGTGTGTGTTGATGTGATAGTTTGTAATATGATTCCTCCAAAAAAATTACATCAATGAATAACTTAAAATTCTTGTGTTTGTTTGTTTGTTTGTTTTGTATATCACCAATTTTTTCAATATCAATGTCAAATTTTGACACTTTTCACAATATTTTTTGCAGATCCAGCCAGAATTCGATCAGGTCCAAATGGTTCAAAATTATGAAAAAAAAAAAATGCATGTATGCACCACATTTTGGGTTAAACATTTTGATATCTTTAATCTGTTGTGCTTAATAGTTTTGTACTGAGGGTTGGTGGCGGAATGTGAAGCCACTTGACCACAAGAACCACCGGTTACACATCTATTCATTCAAATGTAAACTAATGTAGGTGAGGCAAGCTGAAGGTGGCTGGAATAGTGGTCAACCTGACAACCTCTGTATTTACTTCCTTCACAACTACCATGTATCCTATAGATTGATGAAGTGTGTTTAATTTCAGGCTCTGAGTGGTTTTCGACAAATTGATGTCATTGACATGGACACAATAGATGTTTCCAATCTTAATAGACAGTTCTTATTTAGGTAAGGTGATGTCCATCTAAGACACAGAGACTGCAATGTCCACCCAGGAAATCATACTGTACCCATGCCATTGCCCAAAACATCTATTTATATTGAATACTTATGATTACCCAATATTGCCTATTATATATATTATTATATATCATATTTTTGTGTTCTAGTATATTTTATTTATTACCTCGTCTTGTAGACTGCAAACCTACCTTCAATTAAGCATCAACTCATGTGTGTTTTTTATCATTTATAGAAGTAAAGATGTTGGTAAATCTAAGGCTGAAGTTGCTGCAAAATTTATAAATAACAGAGTACCAGGCTGTAATGTCACACCGTATCTTTTTATTTTGAAATTATAAAATAGCATTCTCCATTTAAGCAACATTACATTAGCACAGGTCATACTGGAATTGCGGGTTTAAACACTTAATGTACTGAAATGTAATTGTACAAGTGAAGTGAATATAAGGGCCCTCTATTGTCATTACGACTTTGAGGTACATCAGGGGACTATGAACTATTCACATGTTTTTAATTACTAACAAAGATAAATTACACAAACATTTTATGCTGACCCAACCATGAAATCAAAGTATCCCATTCAGATTTCATGTAGTGAAGAAACTTTCTACTTTGCATGTCTTGAGTTCAATTAATTGTAGTATAATTCTTAATAACTGTCATAGTTGAGAGATGCAACTACCTTGTCAGCGTAATATAGATTACCAGCTAATCTGTATTACATATGTTTAGGTGGAAGAACTAAATGCATACTCAGGAATTTATGATTTGTCATTTCCTTGACTAATGCTTGTAGTCATTTTCAAAAAATTCAGGATTGTGATGGTTCATATTACAGACGTGAGTATAGTCTTCAGAAAATCTATGTAAAGTATTTTGTCATTACCATAGAAACATCATGTGTACAGTATTGCTCTATTAGACGCATATCTCCAATAAAAGCACTTACATACATACATGTATGATTTGATTAATGGATACATGTACTGAATAATTACTTATTTTGACTATAGAAATACAAATACATGTTATTTATTTGAGATTATGTGCTTATAATAGAACAGATACATTCACATGTGTAGCACCAATTCACTGAGTGAGATATTAGCTGAGTTTATCAGTCATTGTTTGATGTAGTCTTAAACGGGGACAAACTGTAAAATGACTAATTTTAATTGGGTTTAAATTTCGCTCATTTACCATTTCAGGCATATTCAGTGGGTTTTAAATTCACGGTTTTTATAATTTAAATACGGTGTTCTATGCTAAATTTTACATATTCACTGGGTTTTAATTTAGTGCATTTTCCAGTCGGCGAAATAAGCAAAATTAAAACCCAGTATGTTTATGACTTGTGTTCTGTGTAAACAAGAACCACACATAAAGGGTGCTAATCCTGCTCTGCTCTGAACGAGCCGAGCCAAATGCAAAATTGTTGGGTGGAGCAATAATTTGGCTCCAATTAAATGCTGTCATGTAAACCTAGCAAATGTCATTGACAGTGATGGTGTTTTTGCTTATTTTGCTCATTATAGTAGCATTTATACATATATTGTTGACATGTGCCATTCTTTTGTTTCAGAATTCCATATTGTTATATGTGGGTTAGACTCTATAGTAGCAAGGAGGTGGCTGAATGGAATGTTGGTAAGACTACACCACTACAACATACAATACATTCAATCTGTTTTTGTTGACACAAAGCATATTATATGTATTGATTGACTTCTGAGAATGTGAAATGCGATTCATTACATAGTTATACAGCTTGTTCATATGATAGTTATCTAGAAATATTTATCAGTCTACCAAATTGGATTTACTCAAAAAGCTATTTAATGTATATGCACATGTAAACAAAACAGCGCATTGTTGTATACTGAATCATTAAATAAAATATTACTTGCTTTGACCATAGACAATAAAATACACATAAAATAAAGTCGGGTCAATAAATTTGTGTAATTAGCAATAAAAACAATGTAGCATATACAATTCATGTTCATAACTGTCCACCAGTCAATCATCATTGATCTGTTAGCCCTCATGTGAAATAACACCTGGAGTAATTAAATAAGAATTGTACAAATACAGTCTATTCTTGTGATAGCATTAACACCTTTAATTATTTGTCTGATTAGCACCCAGGGTACTCTTCTCAAATAATCCAAGTCAGGCAATCCCTATCAAAAAATACCATTTTTGTTCACAAGATGTCAGATTAAAGGGAATATTACGTCTTTTTTTTTTTAAATAAAATTGCGAAATGAATTGCAACATCATTTTTGATTTCAGCACTTTTACAATGACGAAACAGAAATGGTCACAAAAAATATACACGTTTTATTACAATATTCTTGTATATATGTTGGAGTTGATTTAAAAAAACACAGCTTGATTTAAAAAAAAAAGGGGTGATTAGCAATTTTTAAAAGCTAAACTGAAAGTGAATAGAAGTATTCACTGTCATTAACAGGTCATTGTTGAAACATAATTTACTCATTCATATTTATTCACGGCAGTCAATATCCACACTGTAATTGGATTATTAGTATTCAGAAAAGTCAAACAATGTTGAAAGACAAGGTTTATGTGACCCAAGAAATAAAAATTCCTGAAAAGTTGGGGGTGGGGCAACTTAGTCGAGCATGGATGCAAAATCAAGCAAGTACATATATATGTTCTCTATTATAATTGATGTTTCAAGTATCTTTATTTTTCAGCTTAGTCTAGTTAATTATGAAGATGGGATTTTAGATCAATCCAGTATTATTCCGTTAATTGACGGTGGTACTGAAGGATTCAAAGGCAGTGCCAGAGTCATACTGCCCGGTCTCACAGCATGCATTGAGTGTACACTAGATCTCTACCCACCACAGGTACGTGTAAGTTATGTTCTCTAAGATTTCAACAATTCAATGATCACATCAAACTAAGGTAGAGATCATTCATGTGTTCAGTTTGTGTTGTCAATCAACAAAATGTTGACAGTGTAAAGCTTATTTGTTTAAATTTATTATTACATATTTGCACACTTTAAATGTTATTGATTTCACTGTTTTACTCACATAGTTTTTCTGTTTGTGAAAGTGTCCCAAATCTGTCAACCTGTGTCTGTGTACTGTATCTATTTTCTTTCAAAACTGATATACTTTAACTTTTCATTGTTATGCCAGGTATACTCACTTTGGTGACTGGATTTGAACATCTTGAGTCCATCTTACACTGAGGTGTTTGGAATCCTGTCTCTTAATGAGGAGAAAGGGACAACTATATATACATGTTACTCTGTAACATTGATGACCAGTGCTGATATCTATTTGTAGTAGTGTATATGTTGATGTACATTTCATAAAATGGAATAGAAACATGTATAATACTAGTAAAAAAACTGATTGCTTTCAATTTGCATGGCTGTGACTTTCTTCATGTCTTTTATCACTACAGGTGGTGTTTCCAATGTGTACTATTGCACATACACCAAGGTTACCAGAACATTGCATAGAATACGCTAAGGTATTAGTTTGGCCTCAAGAACATCCATTTGGAGGTAAGACGTATCAAATTTGATTTGTTATAAATGTTGTAGATCAGTTGTGTATCCATTCTTAGCATAACATATACTATGAACACATAGGGTGCTGGCTATGCACCTGTCAGTGTGTTACAGCAGGTGTCAAAATAAACTGATCATGCAAACCGATATCTCCCTATCAATGTCCCTTCAAACATTTCTATATCCCTAGCAAAGTTGCCAGCAGTGTTTGATTTGACCTAAATGGTTGAAAACTTATTTGCATATCAAAAGTTCCACCACCTTTGATAGGGTACTCAAATCTGAAATGACTTGTGTATATTCAGTGTTCAATGTTCTTAGGATTCAATTATTCATGATTTTTGTATTTTATGTTTTCAATTCTTTTGCCCAAAATGACTATTTTGAATTCAAATTCTTACATCCTATTTTTTGCAAATGGATTTTTCCATTCGTGTGTTTGAAATCAAGTAGTTTTCAATCTTGTTTGCAATCCAGTTTCCTGCGATGTCCTGGCAAAGCTCACATATGGGTCTATTGTCTTGTATTTTGTGATTAAACATTGTGTCATTTCAGAGAATATTCCCATTGATGGTGATGATCCGGCACATATACAGTGGATATTTGACAAAGCATTAGAAAGAGCTAAACATTATAACATACAGGGGGTGACATACAGGCTGACTCAGGGTAAGAATTAACCCTTTGTGTTTTGTTTAATTTCTGCATTTTAAGCTTTGAAAGGATTCTATCATGTAACCCAGCATTATCAGTTACCATGGCTACAGTGAACCAAGTTCTTCAGTATTAACTATAGTGATATTTGATGTTGCAGGTGTAGTGAAACATATTATCCCCGCTGTTGCATCTACAAATGCAGTCATTGCTGCAGCATGTGTAACTGAAGCATTTAAACTAGCAACCAGGTGAGTAACTATGACAACAAACAGTTTATAGGTTGCATGCTCTCTTCAGTTGTTAAACCAACTGAAAGCAGTTAGGTCCAAAAAAAATACTTGTGACAGTGATTTTTGACTCCCGTGTGCGAAGCACAAAAGGGAGTCTTTGCAGTTACCCTGTCTGTATGTATGTATGTATGTATGTATGTATGTATGTATGTCACTTTTTTTGTTCCACCGTTATCTCAAGAACCACTAATCAAATTTTGGTGAAATTTGGTACATAGATGCTCTGGGATAATGCGCAGAGCTGATTAGGTTTTGGTAAAAATCTATGAATATTAATTACCTAATTTGCATGATAATTAGCTGATTTTTAGCTGTTCCAAGACTGTTCCACTGATATCTGAAGAACCACTCATTGGATTTTAATGAAACTTGGCACATGGATTCTCTGAACTAGTGCGTAGATTTGATTAGTTTTGGGTAAAAATCTGTTAATATTATTAATTACCTAATTTACATAATGATTAATCAATTTTCGGCTTTTCCACTGATATCTCAAGTACTAATCATAACATTTCAATAAAACATAGATGTCATATGACACTGCACAGACCTGATAGTTTTTAGGGTAATATCAGTACATATTAATTACCTAATTTGTATAATTAATTAATTTTCAGGTTTTGATATTTCCAGTAATAATGATTACGTTTCAATGAAACTTGGTACATAGTTACTTGAGGACTGTGCAGAGACCTAATTAGTTTTGGGTAAATATTTGTGCATATTAATCACCTTATTAGCATAATTAGTTAATTTTCAGCTTTTCACCTGATATGTCAAGTACTAATCATCACATTTCAATGAGACTTGCGACATATATATTCTAGGACTACGCAGAGACCTGATTAATTTGCATAATTAGTTAATTTTTTGCTGTTCTATGGCTGTTGCACTGATGTCTAAAAACCACTCATTGGATTTCAACGAAACTTTTCAAGAGTACCTGTCACATTTCAATGAACCTAGGACTATACACCATATTAGTTTTTGGTAAATATTTATGCTTCTTAATCACCTAATTAACATAATTAATTAATACTGTATATCTCAAGTATTGATCATCACATTTGAATAAAACTTGGTACATAAATGGTCTTGGACAATAGACAGCCTGATTAATTTTGGGTTAAAATCTGTTCATATTAATTCTCTAATTAGCATAATAATGAATATTTTTTTGGTTCTAATCACATTTCAATGAAACTTGGTACATTGTGCAGACCTTATTAGTTTTACACTTAAATCTGTTCGTTACCTTATTTGCATAATTAATTTTCTGCGTTTCCATCAACATCTCAAGTTCAAGTAATTTTGAATTAATTTTTAACGTGTCTCCAATACTCAGTATCTCAGCACACGGGAGTTCTTTCTAAGCTTTCTTTGATTTGTAATTTTTGTAAACCTTTTATTTATCTCACCAGTTGTTGTATGCCTCTTAATAATTACATGGTGTTCAATGATATTGATGGTCTTTATACATATACATTTGAAGCTGAAAGAAAGGTGAGTGTAACTGCCTAGAGAAGACAGTGAAATTAAATATTTATCTACACTGTGAGTGGTTGTTTAGATGTCACTGTCTGATTGCTGATACTTATTCCTGAATAAGTTGACTATAAGACAAAAATAACCTGCAAGCATGCTGTGATGAAAATGACAGTATCATTAACATTTGTTCTATTTGTCAACAGGAAGACTGTATTTCTTGTAGTCAAGTTCCCCAGACACTTACCTTTGATGAAGACACTACACTGCAAGAATTACTAAGTTACCTTATTGAAAACTCATCCATGTAAGTTATGAAGTCTATCCTGCTTTTAGTGTCCAAAATGAGAAGCATTTACTGATCCGCCGCAGATTTTCGTTGGCCAATTTGTTTCAGACTTAGTACAAATCCAACAGATGATGTCAAACATCTACACATTTTTGTTTTGATTCTATCAGATATGGCCAACTGGTGGCCATTTTAGATGAGATGATATGATATGATGGTTTATTACCCATATTATTTGTGCAAAATACAATTCTGAAATAGGAAAACTAGACCCAACTACTTAAACAGGTCTACAGTTGGTTTTGCGATGATATGATGAAAATACAAATTAAGTGCAAGCAGCATTGTTATTTTGTTTTGATAACTGATGTAAGATGGTATTTATTTTTGACTTCCATGTGCGAAGCAGTTAGTGTGTCTGTTTGTTTGTATATGTATGTATGTATGTATGTATGTATGTATGTATGTATGTATGTATGTATGTATGTATGTGTGTGTTTGTGTGTTTGTGTGTCTGTCTGTTCCACTGCTATCTCAAGAACCATACATTGGTTTTTGATGAAACTTGGTGCATAGATGCTCTGGGCCAATGCGCAGATTTGATTAGTTTTTGGTAAAAATCTGTGCGTGTTAATTACCTAATTTGCATAATAATTAGCTAATTGTTAGCTGTTCTAAAGAACCACTCATTGGATTTTGATGAAACTTGGTACATAGTTGCTCTGAACTAATGCGCAGATGTGATAAGTTTCTGATAAAAATCTGTGCATATTAATTATCCAATTTGCATAATTAGTCAATTTGTCACTGATATCCCAAGTACTAAACATCACATTTCAATAAAACTAGGTACCTAGATGTCATAGGCCACTGAACAGACCTGATGGTTTTTAGGGTAATATATTAATTACCTAATTTTCATAATTAATTTTCAGCTTTTGATATTTTAAGTAGTAAGCATTACATTTCAGTGAAACTTGGTACATAGATACTCAAAGACTATGCAGAGATTGGTTGTTTTGGGATAAATATTTGTGCATATTAATCACCTAATTTGCATAATTAGCTAATTTTCAGCTTTTCCACAGATATCTCAAGTACTAATCATCATATTTCAATGAAACTGGGTACATAGATCTTCTAGGACTATGCAGAGACCTGATTAGGTATAGGGTAAATAATTGTGCATATTAATTACCTAATTTGCATAATTAATTTTCAGCTTTTCCACTGATATCTCAAGTACTAATCATCACATTTCAACGAATCTAGAACTATGCAGAGACCCAATTAGTGTCAGTAAATATTTATGCATATTAATCACCTAATTTGCATAATTAACCTATTTTCAACTTTCACACTGATATCTCAAGTACTAATCATCACGTTCAAATGAAACGTTGTACATGGATGCTGTAGGGCAATAGACAGACCTAATTAATTGTGGGTAAAAATCTGTACATATTAATTACCTTACCAATTTTAGGCTATCACACTGATATCTAAAGTACAAATTATTCCATTTCTATGAAACTTAGTACAAAGATGCTCTAGGACAATGTACAAACCTGATTAGTTTGGGGTTAAAATCTGTTGATATTAATTCCCTAATTAGCATTATAATTCATAATTTTGTGGTTCTAATCACATTTCAATAAAACTTGGTACAGAGATGATTTGTTACATTGCGCAGACCTCATTAGTTTTACACTCAAATCTGTTTATATTAATTTTCTGATTTGCATAATTAGTTTTCAGCTTTTCCATCAAGTATAAGTAATTTCGAATTATTTTTAATGTGTCTCTAATACTATCAGCACCTGGGAGTTCTTTCTAAGCTTTCTTTGATTTTCACTGCTACCTGTTTCTGTGGCTCACATTTACTGTGTCAAACCTTAAGATTAATCTCAGTGACTCTGATTTACAAAATACCAGTGGCATTAACATTATTGATAACAGTTTACAATGTCTCATCTAGGAATCAAAAGCTTTATTATCTGGCATGTTGCCTGCAGGAGAGTGGTTACTAGCTTCCGTCCGTCAGTCTATTGTTCGTCTGTATGTTTGTACATCCATAGTCATATCAGGAGTACATAAAAACATTCACACTGTGTTATATTGAAAACATTGCACACTAGATCTGATCAACATATGTCATGACCATATGTGGTCATGTGACCCCATTAAAATTCCTAACTTATTATATGTGAGGACGATTGCAGGTAGATGTTCAACCAATGCAGTACTTTATTTAGTATCATCTGCTGTGATATAGTGGTTACAAGTGTCCATAGTTATAACTAAAAAAATTGTCTTACAGTATTGGCTGAATGTTCAACTACACACCCATTGAGATATGCATATTCTTAACTGTATAAAATCACTTTAAAATAGCTCAAAACAACAATCTAATGTGCATATACTCAACACAAATCACTTTACAAAGTCATGCCAGGTTGCTATGGGGATCTGGCTACAGACTAATCTGGAAGTCATAAATCCAAAATGTTGTTTATGTGTGGCATTATTTCTCTCTGCAGTCAGCTGAAAGCACCCGGCATTACTACCACCATAGATGGTAAACATAGAACACTTTACATGCAAACTGTGGAATCAATAGAAAAAAGAACTAAAGTCAATTTGACCAAGAAACTTAAAGGTAAGTTGGTCAGATCAATCAGGCTGTTGCATTCAGGAAAGGTGTAGTAGAGGCGTGTACAATGAATACTAACTTGTACTTTGTTTTGGTAATGTATTCTGCTTTACATCTCTATTAAAATACCACACATTTGCCCATTGTAGAATATTTGTGAAATATTAACATTTCTTGGTCATACAGCAGAACACAAATGTATATAAATTCATTAAATTCCATGTCAGGTAAATTTTTTTCTTTTCTGATTTATTGTTACAGAACTGGGTTTGATTGAAGGACAGGAATTGATTGTTGCAGATCCTACCACGCCTTCATCTCTTGTTGTCAATTTACATTATAATCAAAACTCCAAAATGGAAGGATAGTTAATGACATATTGTCTTTACCAGATCCTGTCTTCAGTTTGATATTTAAAGAAAAGCATTATGTTAAGACATCCATAGGTGGCGCTGAGTTAATGCACTTGTCATGTGACCTGTCATGTGACCATATGAAACATAACTATGCAGAAACCGAGTTGAGACTATTTGAAAGTGATCTTGGTGTGAGTGATTCATTTTTAGAATCTGTAAAGTCAGATAAAAGTCATCAGTTAATTTGACTTCAGACTCATTCCTTCACAATGAAACTAATAATCTTCATAAATTTCAGCAATGCTATTCTGTTTATGCATCTCTTTTGAAATATTACTTACTAGTAAATATAATGGTTATGATTTATTGATCAGTATGCCACCAATAGCTGAACTTTAGTACCAAACCACGATATGTTGCATCATGCAACAAGCAATTACAATTTGATGAGGGATTAGTAGAGGGGAGGCAAGGGGGGTAGCTGGTACGGTTTTACGGGAAATAAAAAGGGCTTTTTACAATTTACAACGAAAAAAAAGACGTTTTTACAGTTTACAGTTTTAAAAAAGGAACATTGAATGGTCCGAAGAGCTCTCAGACTCAAATTCTCCGCCATTGCTGCGCCACGCACGCGCATATTACCCTCGTAATGCTCTTCATTCGGTTAGAGGGCCTTTTACGTCTTGACATTCAATTTTGTAGTGAATTGTGTCATCTAGTCGTTTTACAGTTTCTATAATGTAGTTTCCCTGGATTATTCTTTACGATTTTTTTTATTTGGATGTAAATTCTTGTACGTACCGAGAAAAATGACATATTTTTACAGTGTACGAAAAAAATATTTGATCGATTACGTTGTACGTCTAGCCTGTGATTACAGAAATACGGAATTTATTTTTTCAATTTACGTAGTACGAACAAAAAAATATTGCAATTACGTTGAACGAAAATAACCCTTGCCCCCCCCCCCCCTCATTAGTAGGTATCACTAATCTTACTGATAAGGTGTCATGTATGGAATGATTTTTATTATACTGAACAATATTTTCAAATATCATAAGCTCAAACTACTACTGTCTACATTGTGTGAATCTTTACATATTAAATGTATTGTAATGTATTGCTTTAAATAGTGCATGTACCTCTTTAAATAGTGCATGTACTTCTTTAAATAGTGCAATGTATCTCTTTAAATAGTGCATGTACTTCTTTAAATAGTGCAATGTATCTCTTTAAATAGTGCATGTACTTCTTTAAATATTGCAATGTATCTCTTTAAATAGTGCATGTACCTCTTTAAATAGTGCAATGTATCTCTTTAAATAGTGCATGTACCTCTTTAAATAGTGCATGTATCTCTTTAAATAGTGTATGTATCTCTTTATTAACTGCATTTTTTAAGCTTTTATACTAATGATGGTTACAACTCTCATTCAATACTGAATTGATCAAGAATTTTTAAAGTGACTATCGATAGCTGTAACTATCGATCTTTTTTTTCTGCGATTGATAAAACATTTTCTGTATCATTAGTGTCGATTTGACAACGACCATTGCCATAATATAGACACTTGTACATTGAAAAACTTGCAAGTGAATAGAGATGGCCATTTTTTTTTCTAGTTCTCTAGAAGGCTCCACCTATTGAAATCCTTGGATGAAATCAAGGATTGCAGTACAAGATGACAACTTTTCGGAACCCCTACAAAATACGTTGCTATCTTGAGTGGCTAAGCGTTTATCTGACGGCCTCTGACTTTATGTATCATTTTTCATAAGAGTGTGCATCATGTTTTTTTACAGTCCTACGATATGGCTATTACTTGACCCTTAGTTTCCCACATAGCATTTTATGCATATGCAATTGTGCTTAAAACTATATTTTGGTAAGATTTAGTCTTAATTTTGATAAGTCGCTTTTATGTATGCCTCATTAAGTTACATGCATCGTTAAATAATTTATGCATCAAAATCAAAGTTATTTTTTATGAATTACTGCTCTGCTGCATACATATTATTTAAATAAGATTATGTCTTGTTACAAGATTTTAGTGGAGACATCACAATATGCATACATATCAAATACACTGTGCATTCAATTGTGGTTATTGATATCTCATTTAGAAGACTGCTTTATTAGCGATTATTCATTTTGTGCATAAAATGCAGAATGTTTTATAGTTGATGAAATTTGTTGTAAGTAAATATTTATTTGATACTTGTTTGTGATTTATTAAAAGTATGTGTTTAACTGTGTATATATGGGTTCAAATAAGTAGATACTAGTTTCCTCTATTTAAAAACAACATATCAGACATCCAAAACACATTCAAATACAACCTTTCTGCCTTCCTGTATTCACAGGCAACTGTCCATCTTCAAATTGAAACAAGTCCGGGATTTGTATGGATCTGTACACTCGCATACCGGTATATAATAAAATAATGAAAATATTAGCATGCATGAAGATTACATTTCTCAGTCGTGGGTTCAAGACACATTCGATGCAATCCACTTCCACAGTACTCTACAATAGTATGTTTGCTATTAACATCAAATGTCGAATATTACATTAGTTTCCCTACCTTGAGCCCAAGTTAAATAATTACATAGCCAGTTGAGTACTGAATTCAGACATGCAGCTTAAAATTCATGGTGCAGAAAACCCAATACCCCTGTTACAACACACCAATGTGTCAATGGTCTCGATGTCTAAGTACCTGGTAATGTCATCTAGTTTATAGTGTAAACTTTTAAAACACATTAAGCAGAAGAAACAAATTCTGCAGTCTTTCTAATTTAAAGTTTAATGCGGATATGATAGGTCATTGATTGGCTAGTGCCACTTTAGAGAGCATGCTTTATGTCGGTCTTCTACATCCAAGAAAATACAGAGTTTGCATCGGTTGAGTGGTGGATTCGACCACTACCTTGCCTGCACATGAACTGAACATATTGAGTTGTGTGTTGGAATGAACAAGCTTTATTCCAATAAATAATCTGAGATGTAGAGACAATTGTATTAAATGTGACCGTAAGCACAATACTAACTGTAACACTGCTGTCACTTGGCAATGCTCGCCATGCTGATTTTTTTTTTTTTTACAAGATTATTTGAAAACCTACATACAGCTTTGATACCCTGGTTGAAGGCAGCAAGGTCTGCATACTCAAGCAACCAATTGTCTAGATAGGCACTGGTGTGTATCTTTGCCAGGGAGGGCAATGAACATGTACCTTTGCCATTGGCCAATAAGCAGTAATAAGTGATGATAGGTATCCTACCAACCTAATGATGCAAAGTAATCCAGTGGCTTTAGAACCCAGCAAATGTCGTTTGGGGTTACTATGGAGACATTGTTTCCATGCAATTCAGCAAAGAATCGTATGAAAACTACTGTCCACTGTTACTGGGAACACAGTAACCATCGTCGGAATGATATGCTCAATACTTTTAATAATATGCTAGTGTGTGATGTATAGTGTTCAGACAAGCTCACGATTGGAACAATTCACACACACACATATTAGCACATGTCAGCATGTGCTAAGATCTCTCTAACTTGAACACTACTAATGCTAAAAGTTATCCTGTCACTAAAAATGTTCCAGCAAGTAATACATGACATCTTAGTATAAACATATACCTCAGAAATTGTGGCATAATGACATCATTGATGGTCAGTGTCAACGATGAGTTGACATAGTTTTGTTATAATCCTTGTTTCAATTATTTAACAATATAATATTGACAATCTGTTATTTGCGAAAAGAATTTGTCCAGATACTTGAAGTCGTGCATGCAATTTTCAGTGCACTTGTTTATTCTGACTTTTTGAGCATTCCTGTCAACTGTCCTACCTTTCAAATCAAATTTACAACTAAAAAAATAATAGCAAACCACTTTTCAGAATTGTATCTGACTTTTTATTTTGAGCAAATACTCGTCTGATTAGGAACATTTTAGACTTTCATTTGCAGCCTTTTATTGAAACGATTTCATCTTTGAAATCAAATTTTCAAAGCAACTGTTCTAACATTCCAGATATTGAAATACAAACAACACAAACACACCATGCACATATGATGTGTTTTAAGTCACTCTTTGCAGAGTGAAAATAAATAGTGTGTAGTACAATGGATAAGTTTAGTTCAAAAAATTGAATCAAAATAAGGGATTACACTGTACATATAGTTCAAACCAGATCAATGAATATGTTGTGCAGGAATAAACTTACAGAAATAAAGTGTACATGTAAATAAGCATGTTCATCATAAACAAATTCTTGTATATACATAATTTATTCGGTTTAAATATTTCTATACAAATGAGGATATTTTACTCTTTCATTTTTTCTTTTTTGAATGTTTAACTACTGTCCATCCATCGTCTTGTGCCACTGTTTCTCCGGTAATTGAATTTTCTGTTGATAAAGAGAACAATGATTTATGAATGTTATTGGTTGAATGTCATTCATTGTCCATAACAAATTGACACAGAAAGTATGTGCAAGTTGTAAACACTAAGCCATGCATAGTTACTTGCTAACAAATCGTCACAAAAAGTCCTAACAATATGCATCTCAAGATATCACTGTTTTATTAATGAAATCCTACAATGCGATGGCACTCACATGGTGCATTGCATTTCACAAATTCAAACGAAAAATTTAAACCATGAAAGCATTAATAAATAGATACTTTTCCGATAAAAAAACATTTAAATAAAACCTATTTCATAAGAGTTTTTTAGATCCGCTGTCGACTTTGTCGAGCGGAGCTTATCATATGAGTGATTGTCTGTCGTCGTCATCCGTGTCAATGTTTTACTTTTTCGACTTCTTCTTGAAAACTACTAGCCTGAATGCTTTGATACTTGGTGTATATGTACCTTGGGTAGACCTCTCTTAGGTTTGTTCATTTCATGTTGATATCTTCAATTCTCTAATATTGGTGAATATTTTTGTCATTTTTGGTAAAAAGTGATATTTTCGACTTCTTGTTAAAAACCGCAAGTCCAATTGCTTTGATATTACATATATAAGTACTACATGTGAACCTCTCTCAGATTTGTTCATTTTGTAATGATATCTTTAATTCTCTAAATTTGGTGAATATTTTTGTCATTTTTGGTAAAAAGTGATATTTTTGACTTTTTGTTAAAAACCGCTAGTCCAATTGCTTTGATATTACATATATACCGGGTAGGTACTACATGTGGACCTCTTTCAGATTTGTTAATTTCGTTGTGATATTTTCAATTATCTAATTTTGATGATTATTTTTGTCATTGTTGGTGAATAGTGATATTTTTGACTCCTTGTTGAAAACAGCAAGTCCCATTGCTTTGATACTATACATATTGTTCATTTTCTAATGATATCTTCTGTTCTTTAATTGAAATGTGCATTGCTAACACGATATACAGAGGTTGCATCTATTGGCTCCAACTGATGCCTTATATTTCATTAACAGTGAACACATAGACCAATATTCAGTAAACACACCTGTGTCATCATTCCTTATACTATTATCATCTGTACTTGTAGATGGTTTATCATCCTTACTCTCCTCTGAACATAGATCCATACCCCCTAGTCTGGCTAATGTATTATGTTCATTTAGACATGTACCTCTAGAATCTTCATCCATTTCCTGTTTTAAAAAAAAATAACCAGATGATGAAAATCCAATGAAGATCAGACAACAATGGAAGACTGTAGCATTATATAATAACAATATGTTCTATATATGTTAGTGTGTGATGTAGAGTGTTCAGACAAGCTCACGATTGGAACAATTCACACACGCGCATATTAGCACATGTCAGCATGTGCCAAGATCTCTCTCTAACTTGAACACTACTAATGCTAAAAGTTATCCTGTCACTAAAAATGTTCCAGCAAGTAATAATACATGACATCTTAGTATAAACATATACCTCAGAAATTGTAGTATGACATCATTGATGGTCAGTGTCAACGATGAGTTGACATAGTTTTGTTATAATCCTTGTTTCAATTATTTAACAATATTAATGATAAAACAAACATTTAAACATACTTCATCTTGGCCATTCATTTGTACACAAACTGGTAACTGGGAGTTTGGAGCTTCTTGTAAACTTGATATCACTTCAACATCCTTTCCTTGTTTGCAGAGATGGAAGTATTTGCAGATTAACCTGGAAACCTGGAAAATAGATAAATTAGGCATATTATGATATGCATGCTCACATGAGGCAAACTGCCATCATCTGCTATTGTATCAAACACATACTCACATGAGGCAAACTGCCATCATCTGCTATTGTATCAAATTCATTATTGAGAACCTCAGCAAGAAAATCTTCTACTTCATACTGTTCAATATCACCTGTTAACAGATAAATTATGCATTCAATATTTATAATCTTGTACCATACTCATACGCCTAAGTGCCCACCCGCTACTTTGGGGAATCTTTAGTTTCTGGTTCAAGTTTGACTAAGAGCCAAATCAAAAAAGTTTTTGATAAAACTGATGGACATTATTTTATTTACCGTTTCTGTTTTCCAAATTGTGAAAATAAATGCACGTTCCAAGTTTACAGAGCTTGGTCCTGTCAATAACATCCAGGGATTTTTTTAAACAAGGGAACAGGGGCATAGCGCCCTCAAGCCAGGGGCATAGCGCCCCTTTACCCTGGGAAGCAGATCCTCTGGCAACCATAAAATTCTGAATGACCAGGGATCACATGTGGCCACAGTCTTCAACTGTGATCTGTCTGATTGTAGTGCTCCCTCCCTTTCTAGGAAAACTCCTGACATCAATGTATGGTCAGCCTAAGAAGTTAACTTTTTTGTCCCAGTAATCCAGAAGCCAAATGCTGGCAACAGTAAAAAAAATTATCAGCAAAATGCGGGTAAGACAAAATATTTACCAGCAAGGTGATGCTAATTTTGAAATTTACCAGCAAATATTTTATATGTAAATAAAGCAAAATACAAAACGTTTATTGGAGTGTACAAGTCTGTTTTATTCATACCGGTAATACATATGAGTTTGGACACTGTATACATGGAATTATATGCCACAAACAAGTCAACGCCATCTTGACGGTCATATCACAACTTGAATTGTCCCATGTGTTAATTACACAAAGTCATCTAAGCAGTTATCGCTACATTGACTCAGCATTAGGGGCAGAAACTTGAGCATAGACAGGCCAAACATGTTTGGTGTTTTGGTGTATTTTTCCTATGTAGAAGGAGCAATTCTGGGAAATTGGAAAATGGCATCTCTCGCTTGGCAATGAAGTAGGCAATGTTCATTTTTACTTTCATGTCCGTTTCTGTTTTATCACACTTATCTGATTTTTGGAATGCAATGGAAAGAGAACTGTCTTTTACTCTTGCGGCGATGTGGTGCATGGACATGGTGTGTAACAATAAGCTTTCCTTTTTTTAACAAGTTTACATTCAGCCGCATACAACACACGGTAAATGTTATCAGGGAGTTTTCGTTCGGCACTTTCAGTTTCCAAATCAATCCATTCAAATAGATCCGTCCATCGAACAATCTTTCTTCCACCTGTTTCTGTAGTATCTATAAGTGCTCACTTGCACTGACATGGAAAAAGCTTGTAATCTGCCGACTCATTACGGTATCGGAAATATCACGTCCACTAAAATAAAACTAAATAAATAAACCTTGTTTACAGTCGACTAGCACCGACATTGAAACTAGAAGAAATGCAGTATTTGCTGATATGGAAACAGGTTATTCCCCACTGTGAATTAATAAAGTACGAATGTCATTATTGGCTAAGAGTTAAACACTGCTATTGAAAGAGCCAATTGCAATTGCTGTAAGATGACCAGACGCAAGGGAGTGTTTTTTCTCTCAAAGAAAATGAAAGTGTAACAAAATGATTCATTGGTTACAAATCGACTCTTTGGATTCCAGCAGCCAATTGAAAGAAACATTACATGTAGAAAACTACTTGTCTCCAAGAAGTAAATTTCACATGTGACTTGAATCGTGCGATGTTTTTTAAATAAACTACGCACTGTTGTGATGACCTACTTTCTGTTGCGTGATTTTCTAAGACAGTGTATTTTTAGTACGACTAAAGCTTCCTTTTTACTCGCTAAATGCGTGTCTGCACTTGATATTTAGTAACTAAATGCGAGTGATGTATCAATTTGTAAGGCTAAATGCGAGTATTTATGATTTATGATTTTTTAGTCGCAAATGCGAGTAGAAGTCGCAACTTCCTAGGCTGATGGTAGTTCTTTTTTGGAAGGTTGTGTTGGCTTTGAAAATGACAGATTGCTTTGTGCTTACATGTACCGGTATAAGTTTTTAATATGTGTATGTGGCAATAAATGATTTACCACGGCTGTGAATAATCTGCTTTTCCTTTCCACTTTGTGTTTACAATGTTACAATATCACAGCATTCCAAATCTTGAAGAGTAAAACGAAGCTGGTCCTTTTGGTTTCAAATAATGATGTTCGTAGCAATCCGAGCATCAACGTGGGTGGACATCTGTCTTGCAGCATCTCTTCAAAGACTTGCGATTTTCTTTCCATCCTCAATTACGGCAACTGCATTTACATCATATAGATGGTGACGATGTAACTTGTATTCTTTACCGATACAAAGTTCATCACCCTTGCCATGATGAGGCACATGGGCAATAGGAACGAGCTTGATAATGACTTGTACCATGTTTGATCAGTGAAATAATAATTATTTGGCAAACTCTTGGTATTTATATACTATACAATTCATCAGAATGAGTGATTCACATGATTATTCAGACATCATTCACCATGCCGCAATCATTGTTCAAATAGATTTTCTCATTGGGTTATTTGTGCATTCCAGTTGAACATGAATGACAGATTGTCAATTTTCAACATTTATAGCAATCGGGAAGTGAACAGAGAGACAAGTAACAGCGTAAATTGCACCAGAGGAAATGTCCGCTATCAGATGAACTGGACAGCAGTATCTTTGAATATTCATCAAAAGAGCATGCAAAATAAAGTGTGGTGTGAAATGCCATGTTACAAACAGCAGGCTGCACAGATAATATCTATGATTTCAAGGCTATTAACGACTGATTCTGGAGCAGGAAAAATCGATATTATGTTGGCGTTTTCGTAAATGTACGTGTATAAATATTTTAAAATACTACAATATCATACGTATTACTTTCTACAATATATTTGAATAAAATATTACAATGCATTACTGGTATATATTTTTTTCTTTTTGTTCAGTTACAAATGATTTACAAAAACTACCAGAGGATTACCAAGAACAGATTGGGATTTCGCAACAACATTAAACATTTACAAGAGAAACATGAATATATGTTATTAAATATTTGAAATATGAACAAAACTATGGTTCGATTTGATAATGCCCCATCAACGACAAAAAACGTTTACAACAGGAGGGAGAAAACATGGTTACACCTAGTATTGTCAGTCAGGGCTAGTAGACACAAAGATGATCCAGAATACATAATTTTCAGGTAAGTTTTCATTCTTTTTGTATATTTGCTGTAACCAAGAATTCGCTATAAGTTCAAGTATAGTATATGCATGGCTTTTCCACGCTTATTCTGCTATGTTCACATAATGCTGTCAGCTTATATTATTTTTTTCATACTGAGAATGCAATGGGAGATTTGGACAAAAGGTAATGTCAGATATTGTGGTGACAAGAAACGGATGAATGACAGTCAATAAAATTGTATAGTGGTAAACACAGACAATGTATGAAGACTACTGGTTTTAGATAGAGCTCAACAGCATACGTGTATGATGAAAGCAGCTGGTGACACAGCAGACAGCATTGACAATAACCACAGTCCCTCTATCACAATAACACAGTCTTCATTGCAACAGGGTGTACACTGATTGTCTAACCAATAATCCATTTAAAGAGAAGATTAAGGAGGAGTGGATTAGATATATGACTGAATATCAGCGCACCACACAGTGAAACAAGACAACACGTTATAAAATGGGTCAGCCAATCATGGGAGTTGATCACACTTCATCAAGAACTTTGTACGTTTTATTTCCATGTGAAATATGTATTTTTTTTCTGTTATTACGTCAGTTGGAAAGAAAATGTATGTATTATTTTGCTAATCCATGTTTTGTGTGTGCAGGGTTTGTGAACATATTAGTGCACAAAACTATGCTGTTATCAACCTCCTAAATAAGAAGTTTAATAAAAACATGTCAAAAAATTGGAATTTTGCCAATTTTCGAGTAGGGTGCTTGGCTGAGTACCCTGGGCATTTATTCAGACAAGTATGATAATTCATTATTTGTTTAATGATAAGTAACATTTCACACAACATTTTTTAGATTCAGAGCTTGAAATATTAAATAATAATTTTTCCTTTCATAATAATTCAATATTGACACAAGGTTATTTCTGAAAATGTCTAACTGATACCTACTATTTTCTTGGAACCACTGTTCAACTGCAGTAACAAACCATACTGCCTTTTCCATGGAGTGAGGACCACCACAACCATGTTGTACTGCTAACTATATAAAGATAGATAATAATTATTATCAATAAAACAAAGACATGGCACAGTCCTTATATAATAAAAAAAATCATTCCTCACACAGAACTGTATGTGTATATTTACAGTTTATAACTAGTGTGATATGCAAAGATCCCATTGCAGAGTCTGCAACTAGTGTGATATGCAAAGATCCCATTGCAGAGTCTGCAACTAGTGTGATATGCAAAGATCCCATTGCAGAGTCTGCAACTAGTGTGATATGCAAAGATCCCATTGCAGAGTCTGCAACTAGTGTGATATGCAAAGATCCCATTGCAGAGTCTGCAACTAGTGTGATATGCAAAGATCCCATTGCAGAGTTTGCAACTAGTGTGATATGCAAAGATCCCATTGCAGAGTCTGCAACTAGTGTGATATGCAAAGATCCCATTGCAAAGTCTGCAACTAGTGTGATATGCAAAGATCCCATTGCAAAGTCTGCAACTAGTGTGATATGCAAAGATCCCATTGCAGAGTCTGCAACGAGTGTGATATGCAAAGATCCCATTGCAGAGTCTGCAACTAGTGTGATATGCAAAGATCCCATTGCAGAGTCTGCAACTAGTGTGATATGCAAAGATCACATTGCAAAGTCTGCAACTAGTGTGATATGCAAAGATCCCATTGCAGAGTCTGCAACGAGTGTGATATGCAAAGATCCCATTGCAGAGTTTGCAACTTGTGTGATATGCAAAGATCCCATTGCAGAGTCTGCAACGAGTGTGATATGCAAATATCCCTGGGAAATTGATTTTTAAAGCAAGTAAGTTTTTATGAAATACAAATTTAAATAGATGCCTTTTTGGAGGAAAATCCAGGTACATGTGTGTATGCAGTAAAAGTCAATTTTTGCATAACTAAATTATTATGTGTGATTGTGGGAATCCAACGACCCTTACTGCTAGAAATTGAACTCTGATCATTCAGATTATGTAAGTAAAATGAGTATTATTGTCAAATGAGATGGCAAATCAAAATTTTTTTAATATACAAAAATTCATAATTTTAACTGGTACTGTAATTTTAATGCTTGTTAACAGTAAATGGGCTTCTGCTTGGAACAAAATAGTTCAATTAAGTCACATTGGCTAGTACTACATCGCATTTTGTCCCAGTTATTGTTACTCATATTTTCCATTCCCAAAATTTCAGATCCATATAGTAAAATTGGTTTGATACATATATTAAACAGATGGATGTACGTTTTACAGTTTGTTTCTTTTGGTAAAGACTGCTTTAGTGCATACATTGCTTTGATTGCTTTATCTGCTAGGTTGTCTCTAGCTTCTGTAAATTTACCATTTGACTGAAAGATTATCTCAAGATACAAATGTAATTATATGAGTTGACACAGCAAAGTTTCTCATTTTGATAATAGAATTTTTCATTTCTTTGTAGTGTTCGCCATTCTGAATATAAGAATTTTAGTTTTCGCAAGATTTACTTTGTTTTTCCATTTTTGGGAATAATCTGGCAGTTTATTTAATGCATTTTGTAGGCCTTTTTCTGTTATTGAAATTAGCCCCAGATCATCGGCGTAAAGTAGCGGGTTAATGTTATGTAGTGTGACCTGATCAAGGGATTTGTCTTCCAAGTATTCACTCATATCATTCACATATAAATTAAATAGTGTGGGGCTTATAACACAGCCTTGTCTCACACCTTTTGTTGTCTCAAATATATTTGTGATTGTGTTTTCCAAACGAATGCATGCTTTCATATTTCAATACATATTTTTAATAATATTATAGATTTTGTTATTTATTTCATTTTTGAGTAATTTATAAAACAACCCATTACACCAGACACTATCGAAGGCTTTTTGAAAGTCTATAAAGCATGCATATAATTTTCCATTTAGCTGGAGATATTTTTTAACAATTGTTTTCAGTACAAAAAATGTGGTCTGTTGTGCGGTGGCCTTTACGAAACCCTGCTTGATTATTGTTAATTATGTTATTTGTTTATTTAATATAGTACAGAATGTTTTCCCCACTCAACTTGATACAGCTATTCCCCGGTAGTTTCCTGGGTCCAAATTGTGATAAAGAAAATAGTCAGAATAAATTCATTTTGATTATGGCAAACCATACTCTAGCACCAGCCTTAGCTGTCTTCTTAAAAAACAGCTATGGAACAAAACAGCAACAACTATCAGTGTATTAGGCCACATTTTGTGTTCATTCCATATTCTGTATTCACCATTGGCTGCAAATTGTCTTTATTGTTTTTGACTTGTTTTATTTTTTTTTAGAATTTTTTTTATTTTTTGTTTTCTTTTTTAGATTGTAGTTTTTTTTTTAATTTCTTTCTGTAAGACCCTTTTTATCCTTTCCTAAGGATTTTATGCATCTAATAAAAAATATATAGTGGAAAATATATAGTGCGAATCACCCTTTTTATAGATGTGTGAAATAATACTAATATTCCAAGACTTTGGATAAATTCCAGACTCTAAAATTAAGTTAAAAAGTTTTTTTAATGATTTTATCAAGGAATCTGAGCTGCATTTCAAAAGCTCAAGCTAAGGCATAATCTACTGTGCTATTGCCGTTATAGTGATAACATGTGAAGTTACCACACAAGTCACCAGAAATTCTACCATTTAGGATTCTAATGCAAGTGCTCTTACATACTTCCAATAGTGATTTACCGTGTGTGTTTATAAGTGTGTCTACGTTGTAATATGGTATCATGACAATGAGGGCGCCAGATTGTAGTCGAACGTGTTACGTAAGCGAAAGACCCAAGAAATGTGAGTAAGTTTTATCACCAACGATGATCTCACTTGTAGGTGATATTGATCATACCACAAATACATCTACACAGTACATGTATTATTAGTACACGAATAAAGGTTTACACTCCATTCGAAGTTAAAGCCACACGTGTGATCACCGGTTCGTATGTGTGAATATAAATTTACATTGCAAACACAGCCACTGTGAACTCCAATTGTTTTATCTCTCTATAAGATATTACCTGCATATAATTACCTGTAACACTGGCCATCCCTTTAGCACACTTTCTACACCACGATAAAACACAGACCGCTCGAACGAAGAAGCTGCCATAATTTTCAGCCTCGGCACACTAATTATTATCATTATACTTATAAGTCATTAAATTTTGCATAAATAATTCTTATTTTCTTCCAAATTATTGATGGATATCGCATATGAATTACGTACCTCGATACTAAAAACACAATGTTGGTCACATACACCACATATGAAATAAATACATGACTATTTGTATCTGTTGTAGAACAAGCCTGTTTCCGAGAAATGATTTTCCGAACAAATAAACACCTTAGCAAGCTGAGTGGTTTTCATGTTTTGTTTATTAGAATGGCCTTATTTTGGCGAATTACCCTACGCTACAGGATTTACTGTAGCCCAGATGTAACGTGCGATGGCCGAAGGTTTCACTAGAAGTCTGTTGAAAGTGGTGGTTGCTCAGATTTGTCAAAGTCTGGGTTGGCAGGCCGTTCAAACTACCCCTTGCGACCTGCTTACTGATATTTTAGAACGTTACATTGGAAAACTAGCAGAGACTACGCACAGCTATGCTGAACAATGTAAGTACATGTTTTGAGTACACACTACTGTACTTACATATGTTCATTTATAAAACCAGCAGAAGAAATACTTGCATGGCCGTTAAGATCATATTAGCTGCATGGAGAAAAATCATTCATACAGTAATCTTAATAATGCATAAATAACAAGCCATGGCACAGTCCCCGTTAGTTATCAAATTTAAGATATATAGTTATGTTTATAGTAATATAGCTGGAATATAACCATGTCAGGAATATGATTTTTTTAACATTAAAATGATTGACATTTGTATCTGATCGTCAAACAAGTACTTGTCCATATTGAGAGATATTGCTCTGGAACAGCATTCAAAATCAGCCATTTTGAATACATGTATATGTATATATATATATACATTGTATATATATATATATATATATATATATATATATATAACATGATGTACAGTCAAACCTGTCTATAAAGGACAGTCAGTGGACTGAGCCAAACTGTCCTTTATAGACAGGTGGTCTTTATATGGAGGTGGCCTAATTTATTCATTTAATCATGAATATTAATTAGGGCCGGAATTTTAAGGGAGATCATAAAAGCAATACATAAAAACAAACCTACAATGAATAGGTCTTTTTTAATAAAAGTCACTCATTTTCATCTGGATAATTACAGCTTTACTTTTTTACTACAAATTATATCATGTAAATTCACTGAAGCCAAGTGATTCTGCCCATGGATTCATTGGTGTATTTAATGCATAAGAACGATTGTCAACGATCGGCCGCATTGGCGTTTCGTTTCAGCTCGGACTTTCACACTCTCGCCAAGCAGTCTTATTCCCCAGTCTCTTACACATATTCCATCACAGGCGGTAATCATTCCCATCCTTAGTATTGTCGATTGTACACTGTGACAAAATGCACAGGCAAAGTTGCCGTGATTGAAAAAACAAACAAGCATTAAAAATGAAGAAGCATTGGTAATAAACAAAATTGACCAAACTCATAA